TCAAATAAATAAATAAATAAAATAATATGGCATTGACGTGGGATATATCACACATTGCTCAAGATGGGAGCATTCCTTATTCCTTTGTGAACAATCCTCCTGCCGTGTAATGCTCATGTGCAAATATGCTCAACAGTAAGCCCTACTGAGTCTGAAAGGGTTGCTCTTAACATGTATTGAGGTATTGTCTTCTTTTATTACAACAGAACAACACAGTAGCTTAGGAGAAATGAGGAATGAATGTTTAAATAAGGTTAATCATCAGCTTCACTGATCACAATTCTTGGACTGAACTGATAGTACTCAGATGACTCCTGTTCTTTTAACTCTTGGTCTGTGTCCATACCTGCCCAAGGCATGTCTTGCACCTTGTTTTGGTTGGGTTTTAGGGTTCTAGTTAAAAAAGCAAAAGAGATCCCCCAAGCCTGAAATCTGCCCCCAATGTTATATAGTAGTCCCTAAGGAGTGATGGGAGTGAGCTGCTGTCGCTTGTCCCAGCTCCTGCCAACCTAGCAGTTTAAAAGCATGTAAAAATGCGAGTAGATAAATAGGTACCACCTCGTTGGGAAGGTAACAGCATTCCGTGTCTAGTTGCGCTGGCCACGTGACCACGGAAACTGTCTTCGGACAAACGCTGGCTCTACGGCTTGGAGACGGGGATGAGCACCGCGCCCTAGAGTCGGACACGACTGGACTAAATGTCAAGGGGAACCTTTACCTTAAGGAGTGATGATGCCATGAAAAGCTGTGCAGCGTGCAGTATTTCCCAATTTCATAGAGTGCACTGCCGTGTGTTCCTCCCAGGCCATCGTGGTTTCAGATCATGAGTCCCATTTCCATCTCGTGTTTATTCATTTATTCTTCTCTTGCAGGAAAAAACTGTCCAATTTTTTGCACACTCAGAATTGGAAAGGTGCCTTTAACTATGTGGCCAAACGATACATCGAAACAGTCAGCAGGGATGTGTACTTTGAGGATGTACGACTCCAAATGGAGGCCAAGCTGTGGGGAGAAGAGTATAACCGCCACAAGCCCCCCAAACAGGTATTTTGCTCGAGGCAAGAGACAAAACAAGAGTTTGGGAGTTGGACATCCCAATGAGTTTTCAAAGATACTCCTGTGTCACTTAGCTGTACAGATCCCTTCAGGATAATGCCAGGTTAATTACTGCAGATAAATCCATAAGCATTTCACTAATAGCTCTATATTAGTGGAATTCTAATGAAGTGTTGAGGATTTCCAGTGTGATGTAGTGGATAAAAGGATGGACTGGGACTCTGGAGAACAGGGTTTGAATCTCCACACAGCCATGAGCATTCACCCAGGGAGTGGAACTGATAAAACCTGTGTAGGCATCCTTCAGTCTCGAGAGACTATGGTATCGTGCTCTGTATGGAGGTCTTGGGACAGCGTCTAGTGTGGCTGAGAAGGCCAATTCGAGAGTGACAATCCCTTCCACACTGGAGACAAATCCAATCTGTCCCCTGTCCAGGTCCCTGGTTTTGCTTGTTTCGGGACTGCCTCTTTGCCTCAGTCTGCTGTACAAGTGTCTCTTCAAATTGGGAGAGGCCATGATGCACCGCCTGCCTCCAGGCTGAACGCTCAGACGTCAAGGTTTCCCATCTGTTGAGGTCTATTCCTAAGGCCTTCAGATCCCGCTTGCAGATGTCCTTGTAACGCAGCTGTGGTCTCCCTCGGGGGCGGCTTCCCTGCACTCATTCTCCATACAGGAGATCTTTTGGAATCCGACCATCAGCCATTCTCACAACGTGCCCAAGCCAACGTAGACGGCGCTGTTTCAATATTGTATACATGCTGAAAATTCCAGCTCGTTCTAGGACTACTCTATTTGGAACTTTGTCCTGCCAGGTGATACCAAAAATGCATCGGAGACAACGCATATGGAACCACTCCATAAATATCTCACTTACCTTGAAAGTCATTAGGGTTGCTATAAATTGGTTCTGACTTGACAACACAGAACACACACACATACATATACAGGTATTGATTAGATTGTTTACAATGATTGTGTTGCTCAAGCTGCTTAGCCTGGTTGAAGTGTTTCTAAAATGGATCAATATTAGCTTCTCTGGAACCTGTCCTACTGCCATCCGTATCCAGGGACAGCCAATTCGTTGGGTTTTGTGAGCCGTTCAGCAAAATTAGCATTGATAGGCAGCCATATAAGTAGAAGAGAAGATAAAACATTCTTGAGTCACACTTGAGCAATATTTTTCAGATGGCTTATGTTTTGTTGCAAACTCTTGAGTTCTCTGAGCCATGACCTGTCTTTCTCATTTCAACAAAATGGCAGGCTGGTAGTGCTGTGCTTTTTGCATGTAGTCTGGTTCAGACATCAAGGGAAATGCTGGATTCCTGGTCTATGTCTAAGCCAGAGTGAGCCTTGAGATCTTATTTTCCTTCATGTCCATTGTTTGTTCCTGCATTGAAGAAGATTAGAAACATCCGCTGTTTATTTCTTTGTTTACATTTCTCTACCACCCCATTAGCGTTGCCACTTTCTGGACTATTTATACAATAAAATTGTACACGAAAAGACTTTATTAAAAATGCAAAAAATAGAATAAGCCGTGCTCTAGTGTTAACTAATTGTGGTTACCAAAGAGGTCTAAGTTTAAAAAACTAATTTCTTAGGCTATTATTTACCAGTCAATATACAAAACTACTTTTTGATCCTGTTCTCATTAACCACCGTTTAATCCAGGGACAGGAGTAACATGGCCCCGGATGGCCATTTTTATGGCTCCTTTTGTTCTTTTGAATTTACTGAAATAATTTGGCTTAAGGAGCACTTTTTACTGTAAAGCGTACCTTATTTAAGAAAGTTTCCTTCTTTAAAATAAAACCAAACCATTTCTTGTTTCATTCAAAGGAGCTGATTCTAGGATCCCAGAAGATCTTAAGAGTCAGCAAAATGGCCCCCAGAATCCTGCAGTTTGCCCATATCTTAGCCGTGGAAGCCAATGCATATTTGACATCTGTGGTTAAATTGTTCTTTCTTGCCCAGAGTTTGCTAATCTGTTTCCTGTGCAATATGAATTTGGGAACTATTTCTTGCTTGCTTCCCTCCCACAGGTGGACATAGTCCAGACCTGCATCATTGAAATGATGAACAGACCGGGGAAACCCTTATTTCACTTGGAACATTACATTGAAGGCAAATACATCAAATATAACTCAAACTCAGGATTTGTACGAGATGAAAACATCCGCCTCACCCCACAGGTGAGACCTTCCTAGTGGCGTGATGATGGCAACTCAATGGGCCAGTGAGCTGACAGGGGGGGGGCTTTTCCCCCTGAGGTGCCTGCCAGCCCAATTGGTCTGAAACCAGGTGACGCTTCCCAAACCTGGCAGGAGTCTAGTTCAATCAAGTGGAGCAGAAGATGAGGAGTGTGTGGACGGAGGCCAGGGTTTTGTAAAGTCTAGAGAACAGGTATTGGTCTCCTGTGGTTTGCTGGTTGAGTGTTCAGGCAGACTGTGCAAGCAGCTTGGGTGATACTGTTGAGTTGCAGAACACAGGCTGTGACTACACAGTCAAATATCTCAGGATTTTCTCCATTTATAAAATGGATGAATTCAATTTTTTTTTTTTACTGAGCGCATGACACAAAGGCCGATTCAAAACGGTCGAGGCCTTTTTCTGTGCCCCTTGGGGCTTCTACTTTTTTCAAGCCGAAACGATTCGAGCGAACTTTTCCCCATGTGAGCAGTTGATTCATTCTTATAAAGACAGGGGTATGTCTGTGGGCAGTATTTCAGTGATGTAGGCAGTTGGGGCATGATGTTCAGGGGCTTGGAAACACCTGTCCTTGTGTTCTTTCCCTTGATGGTTCTCTGGCATTTAAAAAAATCTCTTTACATATATGAGATCAGCGCTAGATCACTTTATCGTTTTGTCACTAGTGTTGATATACTAGCTTAGCACTAGTTCATTTCCAGATGAGAAAAGATATTAGATTATGAAGAACGTGCTCATCCCTGTCTCCGAGCCGTAGAGCCAGTGTTTGTCCGTAGACAGTTTCCATGGTCACGTGGCCATGGTCATGGTGGAAAGGTACCTAAATAGGCAGACAGTTTCCATGGTCACGTGGCCATGGTCATGGTGGGAAGGTACCTAAATAGGCACCTTCCCACCGTGGTGCTACCTATTTATGTACTTGCATTATTACATGCTTTCAAACTGCTAGGTTGGCAGGAGATAGGACAAGCAACGGGAGCTCACTCCGTCGCGTGGATTTGATCTTCGGATGGCTTCCGACCTTGCAGCACAGAGGCTTCTGCGATTTAAGCTGCAGCACCACCACGTGTACACACACACACACACTGCACTATTGCACACACACACACACACACACACACACACACACACACACACACACACACACACTGCACTATCAAAGCTGTTATCATTCATAGATAAATATAGATGTGTAGTTAAGCCTGCACCATCTTTCTACCTCTCAGTTCAACATCCATTAAATGTTTAAGCTTTCTTTAAATTAGAATAATATCCACTGAATTAAAACAGAAGCTTTTGCTGTCTTAATCTGTTCTATTCAATGTTGTTTTGGATGCTCCAAGCCATGAGCACAAGCCGCCACAAGCCTAGCACTCTTCAGATACGCTGGACCTCAGGTTCCTTCATTCCCACCAGCATAGAAAAAGGTGAGAGATGATGGGAGTTGTGATCCAGTGCCTATGGAAAGCACCAGCTAATAGAAGGCTGTTACACATTCAGTTAGAGAAGATGGGATTTTATGGCAGATTCTGCCAGTTCTTTTCATGGCAGAACTGCTCTCGGTGTGGATGAGCCAGTATAGCAAACAGTTTTACAAGCTTTAAGTTCTGGATATCTCAGCCTCTATGCAACTGGGAAACATTGTATTTTTTGACTATATCTTCCAACCGAAGGCCAGGCTGCCTGAGATAGAATGTGAGCTGTAATTTTTCAAACAGCTGATTTTTCCAAGCTTTGTGCCTGTGTGAGCTTAGCCAGCTCTTCTACCCATCTTCCCTTGCCTGCGCAATTCCTGATTTCAGTAGAGTCTCTACCCGCTCTGGAGCATGTCCAGGTTCTCTTTTTCCTTGGGTCATGAGCCTTACAATTCCCTCCAGGTCTTCAGCCACTTCACTTTTGAACGCTCAGGACACCAGCTGATTGTCGTCGACATCCAGGGAGTCGGAGACCTTTACACAGACCCTCAGATCCACACGGAGAGCGGCACAGACTTCGGAGATGGCAACCTAGGTAAACATCAACCTGTCGTGCTGTAACTTCGGTGGGGTGCTGGAGAAGTGGGACTGACGTAGAGGAGAAAGAACTTTTCCCTTCCATAGCACCTGATAGCAAAGGAGCCTCCTTAGACTGTCCTCTTGCAGTTCTGTAAGACATGTGGCATACATTTCAGAAGGAGGGGATAAAAAAAAATTCCCTGTTGTTTTGCTGATGAATGATGAAATAATAATTGGAACATTTTTCAAACACAGTCAACGCAACCTCTCGATTTTCCATAGCATGGCACATTTCAGGAGCCTTGGACTACAACTGCCACTGTTCCAGCTGGCTGGGATTGATGGGAGTTGTAGTTGAACACATCCAGAGGGCTCCACTTTGGGTAAGACTTGAAGTATGCCGTGAACTAGGAAAGCAGCTATGCCCTGTTATATGACTGCGGAGTATCAGAGGGATTTTCAAACAGGAAATAATTATCTGAATGCAATGAAACAATTTTTATGCCCTGTTGTTTCCATTCGTAAATCGGCATGGAGCTGAAATTAATGAATCTCCTGCCATGACCCCGCCTCTTTATACTCCATGACTTAAGTCAAAAATGTGCCCAGTAGAGAGAACATCTAGGAGTCTACCAGCCTGAGTGTGTGCAGCATTTCTCTGGTGGTTCCACAAGGTTAATCTGTGATTATTGATTTATCATCAGATAGCAGTGGTCCTTGCTACCTTTCTCCCCTCCCTGGTAGAGCGCAGTGCCCTGCTTCCAGTAGCTTACCTGCTTTTTGCCTTGATCCCCACTGCATGGCTGAAGATTGTGGAGTACAGTCATGCCCCGCTTAACGATTACCCCGCATTATGACGAATCCACTTCACGATGATATTTTTGCGATCGCAATTGCGATGGTCTAAATGGGTTTTTTTCGCTTTGCGAAGATCGATTCCCTGCTTCGGGAACCGATTCTTTGCATTACGAGGATCAAAACAGCTGATGGTCGGGGTTTCAAAATGGGTGCTCAAAATGGCTCCCCGCTGTGCTTAGGGATGGATTCCTCGCTATACAGGCCCCGAAAATGGCCGCCGTATGGAGGATCTTCGCTGGACGGTGAGTTTTTAGCCCATTGGAACGCATTAACCGGGTTTTAATGCGTTTCAATGAGTTTTTTAATTTCACTTTGCGACGTTTTCGCTCTACAGCGATTTCGCTGGAACAAATTAACGTCGTTAAGTGAAGCACCACTGTACACCTGTTTGGGACAACGGAGCTTCCAGTGCAAGAAGAAAGTGGCCAGAATCCAACTGAAAAATTGCTCAACGCTTGCTTTGGCAGCAGTGCAATTCGAACGCACAGCCTTGAAATGACTGGCGCCACGCTCCCGTGCCTTCCGTCACGCGGCCACGCTGCTACTACCCATACAGAAATAAGTCAGTGTTCGTGGAGAGGTCATAAGCATGGCAGGCCCAGGGCTTGGCTGTATGGTTTCAATGGGGCAACAGAAGACCCTGTATATAGAAGGTGTTCCTTCATGCGTTCTTTATGTTATCTTCCCCCAGGTGTTCGCGGAATGGCCTTGTTCTTCCATTCTCACTCCTGCAACAAGATTTGCAAAAGCATGGGGCTCACGCCGTTTGATCTGTCTTCCAAGGAGAAAGATGCCTTATTTCGAAGCGAGAAACTGCTTGTAAGTAGTTCCTGCAGAGGTTCTGGAACAACAGACTGACTGGCGAGCGTTTTGCAATCAGTCACGGGAATTTTAATTTGTCCCTTGAAGTTTTATCTCCAGGTTAAGGGGGGGGAATATTTAGGCTGTAAAATCGTGCAGAACATTGGGTTTATTAGGTGTTGCAATACTTGGTGTGTGCTTGTCTGGGCAATCCTATCTTGATTGAAGACGCTAGGAGATGAAGAAACTTTTATACAAATGAGGACAAAGTGAGAATCTTCCATTAACTATTTATTCCCATTTCATCTGAACTTTAACAAATTATTGGTTAATGGCTTTAGTATGTAGTTGTTAACTCTTGTTGTTATGGGCCATCAGGTATGGCAACCTTAGGAATGAACGATCTCCAAAATGTCCCGTCCTCAAAAGCCTTGCTCGGGGTCTTGCAAACTCAAACCCGTGGGAGTCGATCCATCTCATACTTAACCTTCCTCTTTTCCTGCTGCCTTCCACTTTTCCTAGCATTTTCCCTGTTTACCAGAGACTCCGGCCTTCTCGTGGTGTGCCCAAAGTCTGGCATCCTCCGTTTCAACATTTGGGCTTCCAGAGATGGGAGCATATTTAAAATCTGCATATTTCATGTTATACAAATTTGGGGCCTCTTTTGTCCTCTTTTTTGGTGATGTATTGGTGACCACCTTGTTTAGGATGGATGACCGGATGGGAGGATTGTTCTTGTGCTGCTGGACGGCTGCCAGGAAGAGAGAAGTGCCCTGTTCCTTGGTGCACCAACCGGGTGATGTATTGGTGACCACCTTGTTTAGGATGGATGACTGGATGGGAGGATTGTTCCTGTGCTGTCGGATGGCTGCCAAGAAGAGAGAAGCGCCCCGTTCCTTGGTGGCACCAACCACAGCAATGGAGAAGGGTCTAACTCTGCTGCCCCAAGAGTCTCTTTTCCAGCTGTGCACCCATGGCTGTTTCCCACTCATTTGAGAGAGCTGCTGGTGACCACCTTGTTTAGGATGGATGACTGGATGGGAGGATTGTTCCTGTGCTGTCGGATGGCTGCCAAGAAGAGAGAAGCGCCCCGTTCCTTGGTGGCACCAACCACAGCAATGGAGAAGGGTCTAACTCTGCTGCCCCAAGAGTCTCTTTTCCAGCTGTGCACCCATGGCTGTTTCCCACTCATTTGAGAGAGCTGCTGGGGCCATGTCCAGTCTGGATGGAGACTGGAAGTGGCAAAGGTCCCCCTTTCCCTAGGCTGTGGCACTTGGTCGTTTTCACGCACTTGCTCGTCATATGGATGACGTCTCATCCAGTTTGGGCCTCAGAGTTTGTTTCTAATTGTAGCTGTTGCCCTCTTAGCCACTTCTTCCCTTCAGATCAATAGGGGGAAGTCCTGTGGGAGAGCTCTTATTGGTACTATTTGCGTGTGGGCATGATGATACTGCAACCATATACAGTGATGCCTCGCAAGACGAAAATAATTTGTTCCACGAGTCATTTCGTATTGCGAAAATTTCATCGTTTCCTATAGGAATGCATTGAAATTTAATTAATGCCTTCCTATTCGTCTTGCAAAGCACGGCCATAGAAAAATTTGTCTTGCCAGTCACCAAAAAAAATTGCAAAAGGCTTTCATCTTGCGAGTTTTTCGTTGCGCGAGGCATTCGTCTTGCGAGGCATCACTGTGTTGTGGTTCCAGATGCAGTGAAGAAACGCTGAAGTGTGGATTTGTGTACTGAAATGGTAGTGTAAGCTGGTGTGGTGTAGAGGTCAGTGTCTTCACCTGGGATTTGAGAAACATGGGATTCTAGTTCTCATGGACCTTGAAACTCCCTGGGTGACGTTTGGGCCTGTCCCTATCTCAGCCTGAGGGTTGTAGTGATGATAAGGGAGAGAGAAGGGGTGCCTTCAATTGTATGGGGGAAACAGGTGGGATGGGAGGGTAACAGGTAAAGGAAAGGGTCCGTGTTTCTTTTCTTTTGCCAAGGAATCTGCTCAGACTGTTGTGCGAGGCACAGAAGAAAAGTGTGGCAGCAGCCGTGTAAGAACGGTCTCGGGCAGCCGTCCTCCTCTTCTTTTCCGGTTGTCCGAAAACTCTGGAGACGAAAGCATGAGTGACGTGGCGTTCGATTCGTTGCCCTCCTCTCCTTCGTCGGCCACACCCCACAGCCAAAGGAACGAGCATCTTCGTAGGTGGCTTTTCTGTGGGTTATCCTATGAGGGTAGGGCGAGGGATCTTCCCCCCCCCCAGTCAGATTTCTGGCAGGGAGCTCCCTTGTCTTATTGTCCTCTTGGGAATCAAAGGTCTGTTTCCTAATTAAGTGAAATCTATTCTTTCCCCTCCTCTAGACTGGCCTGTGTTCAATGAAGTTGATAATTTGGTTCACCATGATCATGAAGGTCTTGACAATCAAAGGGTAAGTGCACCTCTGAGGACCGAACACTATACTGGCTTTGTGTTATGTTTAAACCAGAGACTGTGAATAGTTACTTTCCTGAATTCCAGTTCTTAGAATCCATAACCAGCATGAATGGGACATCTAGAAAGAGCAGGTGGGGGAGGATGCACACGTATTTGAAGAATGCACAGCCCTCGTATAGACTATTTGTCTAGATGGGCGGGGTATAAAATTAATAAAATAAATAAATAAATAGTCTTGCCCTTAGCTCAGTTCCCACAACCCCTCTTTCTGGAGCACTTTTCCTTCAACCACATCTCTCCCTTTGTATGACGGCAGCAGTTCTGTGTTCAGATGCACAAGAATCAAGATTGCCGTTTCGAGCTTGAATCTAACATCTTCAGAGTGACTGAAGGGTTTAGCCAGTGCGATATAACATCCCTGCTCTTAATCCATAGCATGTCATAAAACCCTCACCTATTGAGATACAAGGGTTGGTTTTTTTAGCAATTATAACCTCCTCTGGCTAATAATCCAAGGCCAGTCCATGTAATTTCAAGCAGAGGTCTCGACCCATTGCTTCTTCTACCGTCCCTGCTAATTTGCACCCTACATTTTCTGACCCTTTCTTTGTCCTTTTTATTTTCTACCATACATTTAACTAGTATGACCATCTGCTTAGATGGTTACAGGTGATAGATCTGTTCCATTTTCCAGAAAAAAATCTGGTTCTCACCTATCGAGATACAAGGGTTGTTTTTTTTAGCAATTATCATAACGTCCTCTGGCTAATAATCCAAGGCCAATCCATGTAATTTCAAGCAGAGATCTTGACCCATTGCTTCTTCTACCATCCCTGCTAATCTGCACCCTACATTTTCTGACCCTTTCTTTGTCCTTTTTATTTTCTACCATACATTTAACTAGTATGACCATCTGCTTAGATGGTTACAGGTGATAGATCTGTTCCATTTTCCAGAAAAGCTGGAAATCTGGTTATTTGAGTTAATGGAATGTTATTAGACTACAACTCACATCATTCCCAGCTGATTGGCCTTCCTCTTCTAGCTTGAACCGTTAGAATCCAATGACATTAGCAAGGCTACGTGTTCTCTTCCTCTCATTTTTAAGGTCTGTTGTGGTCCCGGCTTAGGGCTTTAACAGCATGAAAGTTGAGTACACAAGGTAGAAAGCCATGGCAGAGTAATTGTAGAAAGGTGCCGTACTCTTTTATCTAAACAGGGGGAATCTGTTCGTTTGCAGAGGGCAGGATCAAAGAAAGAGCCGAAGTTGTGTCTTTTTCTTTCTCCTTAGGACTGTGACAATGGAGGAGATAGTGGCTACCCCAGTGAAAAGAGGAGTGAACAGGAGGATGTGGATCATCGAGAAAAAGTAATGTGTTTAATTGTAGTTTGAATAAGCCTTACTTGCTTTGCGATTTGCAGTTTGTTTGCCTCCTTTTGTCTTGATCTGCAGACATAATGAGGAGAGAACAGTAGCAACCCCAGTATCTCCTCAAAGTACAATGGTGCCTTGCTTAACAACGATGATCCGTTCCAGGCAAAAATCGCCATTAAGTGAAAACATCGTAAAGCGAAATTAAAAACCCCACTGAAACCCGTTCAAAAGATCATCGTAAAGCGGATTCGTCGTAATGTGGGGCAATCGTTAAGTGAGGCACCACTGTATCTGTTTATACATTTCATTTGTGCCTTGAGATGCATTGTCTGGTTTGCATACGGTGCTTGCATAGAGTGTACACTGCAGAATCTTGCCTCTCCCTGCAGAGAAAACATGTTTTGCGGCATCTTAACAACTAACGTATTTATTTGGTTCCCGAAGCAGGGAACCGATCATCACTAAGCAAAATTCCCTCATTTAGACCATCGTTTTGCGATCGCAAAAAGATCATCGTAAAGCAGATTCGTCATAATGTGGGGCAATCGAGGCACCACTGTATCTGTTTATACATTTCATTTGTGCCTTGAAATGCATTGTTTGGTTTGCATACAGTGCTTGCATAGAGTGTACACTGCAGAATCTTGCCTCTCCCTGCAGAGAAAACATGTTTTGCGGCATCTTAACAACTAACGTATTTATGCAGGTGTGCACTTCCGTGAACAAGAGTCCATTTCGATATTTTCCTCCCGCCCAGAGAAAAGTGTGCATTAGTAAGATCGCTCTTCTAATGAGGAAGCTCAAACCCGGTCAGCATAATGTGGGGCAATCGAGGCACCACTGTATCTGTTTATACATTTCATTTGTGCCTTGAAATGCATTGTTTGGTTTGCATACAGTGCTTGCATAGAGTGTACACTGCAGAATCTTGCCTCCCCCTGCAGATAAATCAACATGTTTTGCGGCATCTTAACAACTAATGTATTTACGCAGGTGTGCACTTCCGTGAACAAGAGTCCACTTTGAAATTTTCCTCCCGCCCAGAGAACGGCGTGCATTAGCAAGATCGCTCTTCTAACGAGGAAGTGCAAATCCGGTCAACCAGTTGACCAAAAGATTGGGTCATCCAGATTCATGTCCCAATGAGCTGTCAGATTTCTCATCCATCTTTTGGTTTGACCTTCAGATACCTTATCAGGATATGAGGAGTCCCAAAGCAGCAGCTTATGTTAAACTGATTGCATCAAATGCACACATTCTTTCCTAGTCCTGGGACTTCAGAGAGAAAGACATCACCCCAGTCCTTCTAGTTTTGCTGCCCTGCTGTGTTGCTTTTCCTGAAGCTGTGTACCCCCCTCTCCCATTTGTGTCCTCTCCTTTTAAAGGAATTGTTATCAAGATGCAGAATAGAGGGTGGGAGACCGGCACCTTCCCTAATCCAGTGGTGTTGTGCACATTCATTTTTTATTTATTTTTTACCTTAATATAGGGGCATTCCAACTGCAACCGAAGGCATGAAAACGATGAAGACAGTTTGGGCAGTTCTGCAAGGGTAAATAATAATAATACAATACCTGACTATTCTGATTTGCTTTTTAAGTCCCATCTGTCACTCATCCAACTTAAATACATTTAAAAGCAGTTTCTTTTTCTTCTTCTTTTTGCTGACTACTTTTTCACAATTACTGACATCTCTTTTTCTTTATTTCATAATCCTCCTCCAGTTAGAGGAATACTGTTGTAAATAAACCCTCTTTAACCTTACTAAAATTAGCTTTGGAAGCACCTAGGCAATTCTCTTGTTATCTGGTGTTTGGGGTTTTGTATTTTCTCTTTATGTTAGATTTTAATTTTGTCCTGTTTTCCTGTTGTCCCTCTGTCCACGTAGTTCAAAAGATTCTCTTTAAAAACCTTCAGGCTTTAAAACAGTAAAACGTCTCATGACTAGCTACACTTCTATGAAGTGAAGCATGTGGTCCCTCTGTATTATGGCTTTCTGCCGTAGACATTTTTTTCTGAGACATTCAGTGAATTATGTCTTTCAACAGTGGTGAAAGAGAGCCCCACATTCTGTCCAAAAACGAGCATAGTTTGTGGAGTTCTTATTTCTCTGCAAACGTAGGTGAAATAAACATATTTTATGAGCAGCCTCTCAGCTCTAAAAGCACAGCTCTTTTAATGCAGATTCCTTTTAAATGACCAACTAGCCCTTGGCATTTGGTTCTACCTAGAATTTCTCATCCATCCATATAGCTGGAAAGGGGAACCCTTGAGAGTTATGTTAATACCGGGATCAAGTTGCATTTGGAAGTTAGGGTGAGAATTGCAGTTGGAACAGCATGACCAGCCTTTGCCTGATGTCTGCTGCATTTGAACAGAGATGGTTTTAAGCATCTTCCAGTTTTACATTGCAAGGCTCTAGTCCATACGGCCTAACCTTAGGACCCTTAACCCATGCTCTCATGTAAACCCACCATTTGTTGAATCAACAACAGATGCATGCTCAGTTTGGCATAGAACCAGGGGAGAGAGAAAGAGTGTGTGTGTGTATGTTTGGGAAAGTTTTTAAGGATACAGTGCTAGGAATCACTGTTTTGCGAATCGCTATAGCGATCGCAAAAAGTCAATGTCTAGCGAAAAAACTGTCATGCGGGGTAACTGTCTAGCGAGGCACCACTGTAGCTGGAAATAGGGTGCCCTTGTGAGTTATGTTAATACCGGGATCAAGTTGCACTTGGAGATTAGGGTGAAAATTGCAGTTGGAACAGCATGACCGTGTCCGGCCGGCCTTTGCCTGATGTCTGCTGCATTTGAACAGAGATGGTTTTAAGCATCTTCCAGTTTTACATTGCAAGGCTCTAGTCCATACGGCCTAACCTTAGGACCCTTAACCCATGCTCTCATGTAAACCCACCATTTGTTGAATCAACAACAGATGCATGCTCAGTTTGGCATAGAACCGGGGGGGGGGCGAGAGAGAGAGAGAGTGTCTGTGTTTGGCAAAGTTTTTTAGGATAGTTTACATACATCTGGTTGTGTAGCACCCTGTCTAGCGAGGCACCACTGTATTTTACATACATCTGGTTGTGTAGCACTGCTGAAGCTTGTAAAAGTGCCCTTTGGCTCATTTATTCTGCAAATCACAAAGAAATCTCGGTTGTGGAAGAAGTGTTATAGTGTGATCTTGTGAATGTTTAGCACAGAAGTAAGCTCCACTGATTTCAGCTCACAAGTCCGTATGTGTATAGGTTTTGCTTTTTTCATATATTATTTTTGCTAATCACAGACAATTGTTTTGAACAAATCAATAGCTCAAAACTGAAGCCTGAGAAGATCTCTCAATTCTGAATGGCAATGTTGTATATCTAGGGATACCTGTTTTTTTTTTCTTTCTTTCTCCCTCGTTTTTTTTTCCATGTTTCAAACTTAAGTCCCAATGCATTCGCCTGTTCTAGGTCAGTGTGGAGAAATGGAATCTCTACAACGCGGCCAGAATTCACATTCACAGACCCTCCTGTGTTGCGGTGGAAGTGCAGAGACTCAGTGCCTTGGAGCTTGAGAAGAAAATTGGGAAGTCCATCCTTGGGAAGGTTTGCGCGCCACCAGTCCTCTTGCGTCTCTCAGGCACCCAGCAGAGCGTCAGCCAAGCCGCTCACCAGAAGGAGCAAAAGGGGTTCTATCAATGCCACATTTCTTTCTGGTCCTGAGGCCAGAGAAGGAGTTAATTCTGCCATCTCTGAATTCTTGTCTCAATCAACAGTACCCTTACAACTCTGGGGTGATGATCTTTTGTGTAGTTTTGCTGAAAGCCACAGTGGACATGCTGAACCTCCCTCGTAGTAGAGTTACCGTGTTTTTCTGTGTATAAGACTATACCTTTGTCTAAAATCTTTAGACTAAAAATTGAGGGTTGTCTTATACACGGAAGTAAGCTGATGAAAGAAATAAAATAAGTGGAGGGGAAAGCAGGGATCAAAGCGATCTGCAAGGCTTCGATCCCTGCTTTCCCCTCCACTTGCTAAGCCCCACTTAGATTTCTTAATTTGGGGTTAGAAAAGTGGAGGGGCGTCTTATACATGGGGGCATCTTATACACAGAAAAATACAGTAATAGCAATTTTAGAGGGTGGAAGAATTATATCTGTGAAGCTTCCCATGATGGCAATCCTAATCTGAACAGACTTGTACAAGCAGCATAGTAACAAGACACAGTACTAGCAATAATGATGCCAGTATATCTCATACATCTCACCCACTTTCCCATCACCAAGAACAAGGTATCTCCTGTTTGGAATGCCTCCCCTTCCATTTTTTGGGTTGGTGCTCCTGTGTCCCTCATATACCCATCTTTTAGCATGAAGCTCAGTTGCCCTCCATCTACATGCGCGGGCAACAGAATTCAAGGCAATCCATAGATCCTTCAATTGGGGACCAGCTAGAAAGCCCCAGGTTGGCGAGAGGTCCATCTGGAACCACCAATCGTGTATTGCTAGATCCAGCAAGTAGTGGACAATGTCCATACTCAGAAGAAACGGTAGATTCCTCATACTGTCATTTCTTTTGAGATAAGAGAATCTCTTTCACTTCTCAGAATGTATCTGGACACAAGTAATGTTAGGAGCCAGCCAACATTTCGGCTTTCATTTTTCTCTTTTCCCTGTAAGGTTTTCCCAGCTAGCCTTCACCTTTAGTTTTCCAATAATAAAAATTGCTGATTTCCCCAGAAATTCAGAAAATTGCTTTCCTTGGACTACAATTGCTGTTATTCTGATGATGATGATGATGATGATGATGATGATGATGATGATGATGATGATGATGATGATAATAATA